CAAACAAGATCATGATATAATTGTATCAATTTGTCAAATCCCAATCTCAATATTTATTACCCCCCAACGTCACTTTTATTCGTTTGCTTTACACTGTACACCTCTCTTGAAACATAGTAGTAGTGATTAATACAAAAAAAAAAAAAATTATCATAATATTCATATTAATTGATATTTAGTTTTAGATCTTGAAAAATAATTTGAAGAATAATATTAAAAGCAATAAATAAAATAAAATTTTGCTTTTAAAATAATGGACAAATAAAAATGAACGAAATGAATATATTATTCTCATAGGAGTTATAGAGGGCAAAGGCAATATTTACCAACTTCCTAACCGTATATACATGAAAATCTCACTAAATTAATATAAGTGGTACCATAAAATAGTATTATTTTGTAGAAATACTATTTAATCAACAAACTAATATTTATTAATTTAAAGAGTGTTTTGAAATTCAATGAAGGTTAATTTTGATTACATCAAAATCATTGTATCTTAGTTATTTATGTATCATGTTTATTGAATTCCCATATAAAAATAAATTTATTATACATAAAATACAATGAATACATCAATCTTCAAGATGATACAATAACATTTGGAACTAGTTATGTGTAAGGAAACACTTATCACATCAACAACTCTTCACAATTTTAAGGTGCAATTCGTAAAGACAAAATCAAAACTTTTTTATGCAATAAGAAAAGTTAGAGATAAGCTTCAACTAGATTTAAATTTTAACGAAAAAAACATAATAGAATCATATTTCACTAAATTGTCTTAAGAAATTTTAATTGAATCATATATTTATGCAGAGGTCTTCTAAAAATATATTTATTTTATTATCTTATCTAAATGAGTGATTTTTCTCATTGGCCAAAATCGGGATAAAAAAAATATTATCTTAAAGAGATTATTAATTATCGAGTATTAATTTAATAAAATTTTACTCTTCAATAAAAAAGAGTCATATTTGTCTTTCTACTATAAAAGGAAATTGGACTTGTCCTTCATTATACTTTTTCAATAAATATATCCCTATAAAAATATTTAGAATTATATTCACCTTTCACCCATTAAAAAATATGCAAAGAAATTTTTTATTTGATCTCAAAAATAAAACAAATCATACACATCTCATTTACCATCACAATCGAAAACACACATCGTTTTAATTAAAAGAAAAAACTTGGAAAAGTTGTCGATTATAAGTTTTACTAGACACAAGTGTCCGTGTTAGCACGGGCCCAATATATATTATTTTTTTGTCTCACTTTATGTGATATTGATAGAATTTAGATAGTCTATTAAATTTTAATATGATTTTTAAATATTTTAAGTTGTTAATTATTGTAATTTATAGTATTTTTACGTAATTTTTAAATAATATATATTACTTATCATGTCCCAATGTATGTAGCACAAATAGAGAGTCAATCAAATGTTGTTAATTATTGAGATTTAAAATACTTTCTACGTAGTTTTCAAATTAAATATTACATGTTACTTCTTTTGATTATTGTAATTTATAGTATTTTTTAACATAAATTTTTAATAATATATGTTACTTCTCTTATCCCAATGTAGGTAGCACAAATAAAATTTCAAGAGTCAATTAAATATTGTTAATTATTGAGATTTGTAATATTTCTACGTAGTTTTCAAAATTAAATAATACATGTTACCTTTTTTATTCCCCAGGCAGGCAAGTCGACCATGACCTGCCTGGTTATTATCACTTATATATTACTAACTATATATATTTGTACTTATATACTATATATAAGAGTCTACAAGCAGGCATGTCTTCGTCAACATGTCTGCTTGTATTACAAGAGTAATTTTGGCATTTTTATGTTTTATTCGTCAAATAATTTGTATTTTGCTTCTTGATATTTGTACCTTTCCCTTGTTGGACAAAAAATCCAGCCAACATTCACATAGTGACTCATATGTCCCCAGAAGATTTGTACTTTGAAGCCTGTGGGCCTAACTTCCTTTTCAATATCTCAGAGGAGAGATGTCATTCATAATAATAACTTGTACTATATTTCCTGAATAGCACACATTTTTGAAATATTTATCTCATTCAGCTATTATTAATATTTGATAATTTCAATTTAGTTGTCTTATTTTTTAAAAAAAATATATTAAGATTATAAAAGAGTTATTACTTAAAATATCATAAATCACAATAATTAATAATTTAAATTGTCTTACTTTATTATTTTATTTTATTATATATTGAGATTGTTGACACCCAATTTTGACCCTCCCCGATATGAATTAATTTTAAGCTTCTTTAATTTCAAATAATTCGAAACAATTAGATTTACGAGGTTCAAATATTTTTTCAAGTTACTTTTAAGAATTTTAGTTAATTTTTATAATATTTTAAATATTTCAAATAATGAATATATGTATATTTTATATATATAATTAATATATCTTATAAACAAAAATCACCTCAAGATTTTACATTTTTGATAAATACATTATTAATTTAGTATGACTCATAATTGTCATTTCGAATATTAGTTCGTATTTTTTTTATTTTGAAAAAAAAAACAATTACTTTGTAATCAAGTTGATTATTTTATATCGTTAGAATTAAGAAGCTCATTAATTAATTTCTACTAACTCATCTTTTATTTAGTTTTAAGCCAAATCACCGATTGAGATCAATTTGGCTACATTCCTAAATTCATTTGGCTATAAATATAATCTAATAGCCATGTATGCAATTGCAAATTAGCTACTCCTTTTAACGTTTGATTTGTTGAGGAAACAAATTTTGAGCCTTTATTTTTCTTTACAACCGGCCCAATTTTCCTCTTATTCTCAATCCCAATTCTCCAAATAATACATACATACAACAGCTCATTACCAGATTCCCAACAGCCCAACCCACCTTTTTTTTTCCTTCCACAATACAACACATACACCAGCAGTAGCGTGCAACATTACCAGAAATAACCCCTACACGATCTTCTTCTTGCGAACAACGACAAGAAACCCAAAATGTGTGCAGTAGGAGCAGCAAAAGCCAGTTGTGAAATTCGTCCTTGTACCGTGAGATTGCTCCGCGTGGCACGGTGAGGATGGGAGGTCGATCCCAAGCGTCGATTTTGCCCTTTCCTCTTTCAGAATGGGCAGAAATCACAGAGAAAAGGTGTTCGCCCGAAATAGTGAAAGAATTCGAATTTGAATTTGGGGATGGGCCTTGAACCGATTTTTGGGTCCCTTTTGCCCATTTTGATTCCTAACCCTAGTTTCTTCTATATATCATGGGATCATTCATTGGTAAGGGGATTTTTTTTTCGAAAAAAAAAAGAGTTGAAAGTTTAGAGTCAAAAGGTGTCGGTTCTTTGCAGTGAACAAAATCGTCTACCTAAGGGATTTGAGCGATTCTTTGGTGGAGAGTTTTTTATCACTCTTCATTAATATATAGTTAGAAGTTGATAGAGATAAAGGAGTGGCAAATCACAAAGGTCATACAAAAATATACGTCAAGTATATCCTTCTTATCATTTCTTTCTGGTTATTGAAATTTGCCGGAATCCTCGAAGTTTCTCCGGAGTTGTTGGTGAAAGAATCGTTGCTTCTCCAAGCTTGTAGTTGTCCTGGTTCTGCTGCACATCTAAAGGTAATACTCATTTTGTTTCAAACATATTTTGCTCGTTTGGCTCTCAACTGTGTGAGCCCCTTATATGTTAACATTTTATTCTGGCATGCTTTTGATTCCCTGTTGGCTGTAAATCAACAATGAAGCTCGTTTGAGAGTCCATGGTTATTGCTTGGTTTCCGTTTTATGTTTTTGATAACGTTCAAATATACTTCTTGAAAAGAAATATAAACGATCGTATGCAATATATTTACCCAACTATGAGTCGGGGTCGATCCCACAGAGAATATGGAAGAATATTGTCAATAGTAAATATTTAACTCGATAGTCGTTATAAAAATGGGGGATTTAAATTGAAATAAAATAAAATAAAAATAATAAACAGATAGCTTTGAACTAAGTATTTATTTATATTCAGATTATGAAAAGTAACTAGGAATGTGTTCCCCATAAGCTCATAACGCGGTAATCCTAATAATAGTAATTCTTTTCTAGTGTATTACATGCAAAGTGATAAGTTAGGTATCTCTAAATCCTTGGTCCGGCATCTAGAG